CTGTCATGGAATCCAAACATTGATGAAACTATAAAAAAATGAAACAAATCATTAGGGTTTATTAAAAGAAATTTCTATAAATCAAATAAGAACATAAAACTAAAATGTTATTTAACCTTGGTTAGGCCAATAATAGAATATGCATCCTCCTTTTGGGACCCCTCAACCCAAGAAAACAATAAGAAACTGGAACAGACACAAAATAGAGCAGTGAGATTCATAACAAACGCATATTCACATTTGACTAGAGTAACACGTTTAGTAAAATCACTAAATTTAGAAAGCCTTCAGGACAGAAGACTCAAAGTAAAGTAGCAATTATACATAAAACACTCAACCATAATCTTCAAATACAAAAACACAATTTAACAAAATGCTCTGAAAAACACAAAGATAGAGTCACATTCCTCATTCCACATGCTAGGACAAATTTGTACAAATACTCCTTCTACCCTAGTGCTATTAGAGCATGGAATGGGTTGCCTGAGCTAGCCAGGAAAACCAGTGACTTGGCAGAGTTTAAGTCATTGGTTAATATGCATGACTAAATGCATGATGCGTAGGACGTAATCATCTTCTTTTTTAAAGTAACGTCTGTATTATATAAGATAAGAAGATAAGACTTCATTATCACTGTTAGTATCACTAACCAAATATGCATTTGATTCTTTAAGCTCAATAGTGCACACAAAAAAAACCTCTATGGTTCAATAATCTGTACACAGGATACACAAAATAGCTTGCTAGTAATGGATAATCCTCTACGTATTATCATCTCTGAGTACCAAATTTTAGATATTTTTGCTATATATTTTTGCTAATGTATTAAAAATGCGTTGACCCTATTCGTCTGATTAGTGGCCTTAATGGGGAAACCCTTATTGTAGTTTTGTGTTTGTCAGTCTATGCGTCCAAAAGTTGAGATATAAAAATAATATTCTATTGATATTAAAGATTCAATGTATCGTATGCACATACATGTAAACTGTTTTTATAACGCAAGGCCAATGACACAAGGTTTAGCTGGAATAACCAGACCAGTCTGCTATCACATGTCTCGGACTCACATATGGTCTCACCAGCCACACGAGGAGGCACAAAACCCCAGTGTAAAGCCTTCAAAAGTGGTTATCATCGGGTCATCGGACCATGATACGCGAACAATTTTAAATATATATTTATCATAATGATGTAAGAAAGCATTTTTTCTGTTGACTGAGTCCATACAATTCAGAATTCGTCCTAGAAATTATAAAAAATCCAACAGAAAGTCTATTAATGGTCACTATAGCTGTATGCGTGAGCTCAACTAGAATCTCATATAAGTCATATTGCTTATTATGTATTTTTAAAGACTTGTTTTTACCAAAACTTTTAAGAAGTAATCAATAAATTAGCTTTTTCATTATGAACTGTATGTAATAAAATCTAAACGTCTTCTGTTTGCTAACATTTGTCCATGGACTGTCCAAGAACTCAAACAAATTAACTCTCAACGTCTTCTGTTAGATAACATTTGTCCATGGCGCCACTAGGGTGGGTGTCAGCCAATGCGGTGAACTCAGGGTGTCATCCTCCCTTTTTCACATAAACTCTATCCAAAATTTCTTAATAAACATTTTAGTTTGTTCTATGTGTTGAACCAGTACAGTGAAGTAATGATTTACTTTCATTGATTGTTACACAAATGTGTCAATTTTGTTATAAAATTCTATTGTTTATGACATCTATTCCATAGTTATTTCATATTTTGGAATGCAAGATAATTAAAATTAGAAATAGACTTTTCATCCCCTGAACATGTTTCCTTTGTTAGACTTTTAGAAGAAAACGGCATTACATTATGTTGTGTTGTTCAAATTTTGATTACCATCTAGTCAAGAAAATGTTGTGGAGCCTCAGTCTGGCTTGTACTATTTCTCTAGGTAAGAAGATTGCAGGTCAAATAACTATAAATGAAGAAAGGGTGGGACTGGCCGTATCTGAAGTGGGAGAATTGACTTCACCTGAGGCAAATGAGCAGTGTTTCTCAAACTTTTACCGTTGGTACCCCACTAAACGTTAAGTCTTTTTCTTTTCAGAAATAGTATTTTGTAGATAATTTAAAAGTATATCGTATAACCGAAAACGTTCTTTTTGGAGGCATCAGGTTCCCTCTCCATCCAGCAAGTTAGTATGTGGAAGCGGCGTTAGCTCCGTTAAGAGTTTTCTGTGTTCTGATCTTCATAAATTCTTTTTCTGGAATCTTCAACGCATTTTTCTTCCCGTACTAAGAAGAGCCCATGTCAATGTTTAAGTACAACGAAGTGGGATGTTTCGATAATGAAATATTTTCTTGGAATCTGAGCGCATTATTCATCCTGGTAAAAAAAAAAGCCGCTCAAATTAAGTCTAATATAGAAAGAGGCAGCATTGGTCCAAACTATTATGCGAGGGATGTTGAAGGTACATATAACTTAATACACGTTACGATAATCTTCGTGTTAAGTAAAAAGTCTTGACGCTAACTTATTAACATGGCACTTACAAAGGTCGTCAACTTAACGATGTTAAACACTGGAGAGAATTTAGGGCCATTCTGATCCTTTGAGACATTTTAAAACAGGGGTTTAAAACAGGTCGCGACCCCTTTGGGAGTCGATTGACAATTTGTCAGGGGTCGCTTAAGACCATCAAAAATATGGATTGTTGGATCGATTCAAACATGTAAAAATTGATACAAAGTTTTTCATTGGAATTTACTATTTTTATTGTTAAATATTGCAGACAACTGAATAAGAATTGATTTCAAACATTTTAATTGTCGCAGCAGAAATATATTTAACACTTTCAATTAATGCGTATCAATGTGTGACGTAGCCTATCGTTACGCCTGTCGTGTTTTTTTAAAGCTCTGGACTGTCGTCTGTAAGGTCAAAGGTCAGTGTTAATATTAAGGTCCTATTTTTTCTTTTTTTTTTTTAAGGATACCTCACAGTTCTCGCTCATCCGTTGTCGAGCTTTTTACATCTACACGGTTACTTATACTCATGGAGGAAAATAATTTACTATTGTGGGAAGGGGGGAGGCGGGGCGCAGCGTAGTGAGGAAATGTAAAAAGGGGTCGCCGATCAAAAAATATTGAGAATCGCTGTTTTAAAAGGTCCTTATTAGAAGATGATACGAATTCTTAAACATAGGCTACAATATTTAAGCATTGAAAAAAAAAAAGAGTAATTTTACTGCGTACTATTCAAAAGTTGATCGATAACTACAATAATAAAACAACTTTTTAAATTTTACCCTTGTAAAACAATTTGAATGGCTTCGCACCTTCCTCATTGATCAGGATGTCGCCCCCTCCCCACCCCACCAGCTTGAGAAAAGCTGCAGCAGATCAAGTTTTTCCTAAGATCATCCTTGTGTTTAGCAAGACGTCTTATAGTGGCTCTGTCCTGTTGATGCAGAAAACGTCCACTGTACGATGGTACTTTAGTTGAAACAAACCGGTCCGTTCTGCCGTAAAAGGGGGGGGGGGGGGTTAGCTTATGGAAATGCATTGTTGAAGAGGCATTAAATAGTTTCTTTAAAAAAAAAACTGAATCGTTCTTGCAGCTAAGGTAGAAAGGTTTTACTTAAATGAAACAACATCACTTAATTTAATTAATTTCTTAAAATTTAGCAATAATGTCCTTTTTACTTGACTAATACTAGCATATAATTTGTTTCCAGCACATAATAAACCGACTGACTGACTTCTACAGACTGACTTTTAAACAATACATAGCTGTTGAAGCTGTTGAATATCTCGATATAAAAATTTGACTGTGATGTAAAATATTATTTCCTGTTTGTAGCTAAGAGTTCCAAGACCAACCTATGACCATGTTCTCATTCGCCCAATGATATAGTGAGATTAGACCAAAAGCGCTCTGAGCATGCTATAAGCATGAAAGTAGCGCTATATAAAAGCTATAATAACAAAAAAATAATAATAGTTAGAGCTATAGCTTCTCTTACGTTATCTAACAAATAGTTTGTAGTCTTAATGTTCTCTATTCCAACACTGTAACTACTTTTTGCATTTAATTAATATTTTAAAAAATATTTTTATTTGCATTATCTTTTAAATACATTTTTTTTGTAATATTACTTTTTAAAATCAAAATGTAATCATTATATTGTTCGATATGATTTGATTGTTAAAAAAACTTCTAGCGATACCAAAAAAAAATACGTCAGTTAAGAAAGTATCATTGCCATTCTATCGGTATAATAGGATATCATATGTTTGTGTATACATTAAGACAGACAAATATTTTAGAGTTGGTAAAAAAATAAAACACAGGTAAAGATAAACACTGAGAGAAAATTTTTAAATGAAGATAAAATAAAAACAATTCAATAGGGAAAAACACCAAGCGGGAATAAACACCAAGAGGGAATAAACACCAAAAGGGAATAAAAACCAAGCGGGAATAAACACCAAAAGGGAATAAACACCAAAAGGGAATAAACAACAAGAGGGAATAAACACCAAAAGGGAATAAACACCAAAAGGGAATAAACAACAAGAGGGAATAAACACCAAAAGGGAATAAACAACAAGCGCGAATAAACACCAAAAGGGAATAAACACCAAAAGGGAATAAACAACAAGAGGGAATAAAGACGAAACCTAAACTTACAACAAAACAACTCCAACGTAAAAAATGAGAATTCGAAAGAATTTTAAATTGTGTACAATCATTTTTACTCCTTCAGTCCTAATGTTCTACAACATTGTCCTTTCTGACAGCAGTAGTCACAATCTTAGTAACAGGTTTCCATAGTCACAGTTGACAAGATCCTTTTATAATAGCTGCTACTTAGGTTTTCATGGCTAGGCTCTCACTGACTTTAAGTCACTAATAATTTACATCTAAACAATTTTTAAGAATAGTCGTTTAGATGTATCAAGTCACTATAAGCAAGGAACGTATAAGTCATACTGGGTGCAAGTCATCTAGACACTAGTCCGAACAAAGTCGTTTGGTACTGCAGAAGCTAAAATATTTTAGAAAAGAAAAATGTTGTTATATATGCTTGATGACGTGTTACAAATATCAATGACCTTTCTGTAAATCCAATTGTGAGGTTACTAGGCTACAAGCGATGATATATGTGTGTATAGAATACAATGACTCTGTGGATTTAATCATTATGTAAGGTGTATCGTGTGGTATATATATATCATGTGATGACATATTTATCTAGCATATGATGACATATGTCTACGATGTGGTCAATCGCTAATCCATTACTTACAAAGTGTTGTAGATGGTGTTGGTGTCGTGGTTGTCTCCCCTAACTGTCCACTTAGCAACTGTTTTAACAACTGTAGAGACATTATAAATAGATCTGTTTGAACAGGACAACAAGGTTTAAAATTAAGTAAATTCGGTACAAAACTTGCCACATGTAAAGCCCCATGGACTGAATTGAATTGTTTAGAGCTTTATCTAGAAAAATATTGTTGCAGTGATCGTGCTTCCTAGAAAACTGAAAACTTCGATGTTTTTTACTGAAACTTCTTTGAGAGTCATTCTATGATTCTCTTCAAAGTAAAACACATTAGATTGATGTACTCTTGGGCAAGAACGAGGTAAGGACATTAAAGGCAACAGAAGAACAAACAGACATAAATCTGCAAGTTTCGTAGCTAAGACTTCTTAAGGTTTTCTTTATCTCACTCATTGTTTTGTGTGCGGAGTTTAGAGATGACATAAACAGTTTTTCTCCAATAATGTGTTGAAAGAATGGATCTCGTTCTCTAAACAAATGTAACAACAAAACTAGGTCATGTGTGTATGTTTATAACAATTAATAGAGCTTTACGATGTGTATGTTTATGAAATGTTTTTGATCTGTATGTATGAGTCTAGGGTAAAGGTGAATTTCACTTCGCAGTCATTCCCCTTCCACTATTTGAATGTTGAGATCTTTAAACTCATGTTCTTTCATCTGTTTCGATTATTCCTATGTAAATCAATAAAATTGTCCAACGTGGATTGGGTAAAGTCAAAGATGTTTCTAATATAGTTGTTTACTTTCTAAAAATAGAAATTGTTATAAGCTACGTTAGTCATTAATATTTCTTTGTAAAAAAATATGTTTTTGAGTTTCAAATTACATTTATGTACTTAGGAATTCTGTAACTCTAATTTAAAGATACAAGAGAGAAACATCCACCAACCTTAGCGGTTTCTGGATCCTGTAACAACTTTGTCAACTGGACCATGTCCGGCGTCATAGCCACTGGCATTGCTGTGGATGCTAACAACGTTAAACCACTTGGTATCACATTTGGAAATCAGACCCACACACACACACATTTATCAATCTATCAATCTCAGGGTGCTGCTTTAACATACGTTTGAAATTACTTTGAAATTTGATGAGATTGTTCAATGAACTCCGCATTTTTTACTTTGAACCTTGGCAATACAGTTATAATGTTATTCTGTTTCAACTGCTACTCTATTACCAATGCAAACGAACCAAAACTGTTTCTTTAATATAAAATCCTTCATACGAATACCAATGAGTTATATTTAGCTTTGTTATAGAAATGCATATACAGTTCAAAGTATCAAGACAAAAAGAAGTGGCTAAAACATTTACTTAGATTTCGATGGTCTGGTTTAGTTTACAATAATGTTATTAGACTAATACTCTGTGTACTTATGTTAGTGCTATTGTGTTATATTATTATCATGTTATAACTATGGTTATTTTTAGAAGCAAAATAAAAGAATTAAGCTTGATTTAAAAAATAAAATGTTTCTTTCAGGGCTGAATGTCCTCGAGGTACTTGAAGCACTCTTTCTTTGCACAGTAGTTGTTGAATCTCTCTAATTGTACTCAGCAAACGTTTCAAAAACATGGCCTCTTCCTTTGGGTTAGGTAAATAAAACATGAAATACAATTGTTATGCTGGTTTTTGTATTACAAATCAAACTCAACCAACACATGAGACCTCACATTCCATTCATTTAAAGTCCTTGGAGTGTTTGATAATTTCAACAAAAAAAAAACAAAAAAAAAAGGGATGTGATTTTGGGTAGTGTTTTCTTGAAATTCAATATAGAGTGTTATTTTTCTAATTTGTAATTATAGCTGGTCTTTGGAAATTTAAACAGAATACAAAATTTAAAAAAAAAAAAAAAATTTTCTTGACTTTAGGAATTTAAATCTTTTAGTTGTTTTTTTTACAATAGAAACATTATTTCGTGATTCTCTGTTCACTTTGAAGAGAAAAAAAAATAGTGTTATAAATATCAAGAGTTTGTACTCACATGTTTTCAAAATGTTTTAGAAATATTTAGTAGTATAATCAGTTGTATTAAACTAATTCCGATCAGTAGTTCAGGTTCACACAAAACAGGACATCAAGGCAGGACACAGAAAGATCATTAAGATACAGAATGGGTCATTATCATTGGTCGTTGAAAAGCAGACTTTAAATCAACAACACCAGCAAACTGTAGAAGTCTCTACATTAGAAACAATAACCAGGATATATTTCAAAATCAGTTGTTTCTAAACACTGGCTTTTTTTTTTGTTAGCTCAGATTTTGATTAAATCAATTCCTAAGTTGAAACGTCAACACGCATCTTTCATAGCGTTAATGTGTTTAGTGATTCATATGATCTCTATTTTCATTTAAAACAACAAAGTTCAGTAGATTCTCAAAGCTCAACAAAAAAAGTTTTAACGAAAAGTGTATTCTCTTTGTTGTCCTAAACCGTCTGTCCCACCATCTGTGCAGCATTCAAGTAGGCAGCAGAGACTTTGTGGCTCCTTCTGTTGGAGCTTGTAACGAAAAATTCTTGTCAGAACAAAGCAACACATTTAATTATTATTGTAGCTTTTATATAGCGCTACTTTCATGCTTATAGCATGCTCAGAGCGCTTTGGTCCAATCTCATTTGTGGACCGGTGGGGGTGGAGGGGGTATCTAGGAGTTGGTTTTCCGTGCTGCCTTTAGGCGCTCAGTAAACGCACCTCGAGCCCCCTTCTAGGTAACCAAGACAACGCTTCCCGCTTTTTAATGTAACAAAAAAAAAAGATAAAATAAGCAAAACACACGAAGATAAAAACAATAAACGTGACAGACATAAACAACGCTCTAACAATGAACACAACGCTCTAGCATATAAACACAACGCTCTAAAATATGAACACAATCAAAGCTCTTACTTTTCAACACGTCACACTCTAACATTTGAACACAATCAACGCTTCAACACATAAACACAACGCTCTAACACAAGAACACAACGCTCTTATATATGAACATAATTAAAGCTCTAGCATATGAGCACAATCAAAGCTCTAACATATTAATACAACGCTCAAACATATGAACAAAACGCTCTAATACATGAACACAATCAACGTTCTAACATGAACACAACGCTCGAATACATGAACACATCAACGTTTTAACACATGAACACAACACTATAACACAAGTAAACACATATGAACACAACGCTCTAACATATGAACACAATCAACGCTCTAACATATGGACAAAACGCTCTAATACCAGAACACAATCAACTTTTTAACACATGAACACAATCAACGTTTTAGCACATCAACACAACGCTCCAATACCTGAGGACAATCAACGTTTTAACACATGAACACAACGCTCTAATACCTGAACATAGTCAACGTTTAAACACATGAACACAACGCTAAAACAGCGGTTCTCAACCTTTTAGGCTCGGCGACCCCTTTTTACAACCCCCCACTCTGCCGCGACCCCCCACCCTCCGCATACACACACAGCAATAGAAGAATGGACAAAAACAATTCATTTATCGATGGTCTTAGGCGACCCATGGCAAATTGTAAATCGACCCCCAAAGGGGTCGCGACCCACAGGTTGAGAACCCCTGCTATAACATATGAAAGATAGGAAGTACAAGTTCTAGTCAAAAGGTTTCACAGTCCAATGTTTTTATTTAGCACTCTTTGGATTCAGTTTTATAAATCACATTTTGGTGAGCAACAGTTTGTGCATATGTCTTAAGGAATGACTGAATGGCATCAGTTGCACTGTCTTGTCACGTGATGGAATCACTTCAGATAGTCAAAGACATGCTGACCTTATTTAAACTGATTTAGAAACAAAGAGATGGCAGATGTTAAAGAATAAACTAGCCGTTGCAATCTCTAGCTGTATTTGAAAAATTATGTCTAAACTACTTTTTTAAATGTCATACATATAAATAGTTATACAAGGTCCAATAAGATCAATCATCACAAAGTCATAAAAATAAGTTATTAAAATGTATGAATTTTGTGTACATTTAGATCTACTAAGTATTAAACTTAATACAGCTTTAGTTTAACTTTGAACAGCTTTGGTGTAACTTTAAAGAGCTTTAGTTTAACTTGGAAAAGTTTTAGTTTAATCTATCATTTCAAAAATATCGTAAGGATTACTTTAATTCTTTATAAAAAGTTTTTGCTCATTTATTTTTAAATTAATGTAGTGGGGAGGACATGATATACCGGTAAGCTAAACTTGACCAAGCACCGGTCAGCAAAGGATCAAGTTGACGGGAAGCTGGCATCCTCCATTGAAACTTGCTGGTACGCACCTACTCCAATACCACCCTGTGTAATCCTGTTGAGTTCTTCATAGGATCATTGTGTTTACGTATGGCTGCAGGTTTTTTTTAGTATCTTTTAAACACTTGAAATAAGCATCCTGAGTTGCCTCGTCATTAGAGGTTGTTACATTCTGTGCCAAACCCACCACAGAATCTTTTGGTGTCAAGAAGTGGGATCCGAAGAAAGGCTACCAGACCTCCCTGTCAGACGATTAGTGGAGCCTTCGGACCCTTCCAATTAAGTTAGAAGTTGAACAAATACTTTTTTATTATATTGTACCATTTCTAGATATTTCTTATGTCCCTTTTATTTTCAGGGTAGTTTAAGTATATAATTGTATTAAGTTAGTTTGAGTATAATTGTAGTAGGTATGAATGCAGATCACAGCCAATCCACACAATTGCCGCCCTTTTCCTGGATACATGAACCACCCATCTTCATCTGGACGTAATTCGCAAGTTGAAGAGGAAGTGCTAAATGTCTATTAGACTCTGGCTGCTCTTTTGATGCCATTGTCAGTAGATCTTTTGTAAGACCTGAAGACAGTATGGATGTATCAGTGACCCTTCAATCTCTTGACTTAGACATTCCACCCAAAGCGGTACCCAGGTTGCAAGAGAAACAGTCAAGTCTCCCCCTCCGAATTAGTTAGCAGGAGCAAAC